GGCAGTGGGAGCAGGTACGGGGCACACAGGTTTCTCCCCTGATCTGACATGGAGTGGCGTCAGTGAAAAGCTGCTGTGCTTGGCTGACTAGGGGCCTGGCTTCATCCCTAAACCAGTGCTGGGACTGGAAGCTGTGCACATCTGGCTCCAAGTTCACTTTTGAAAAGGGCACTTCCAGACACCATCTAGACATTGCCCCAGGCCTCTGCCTTTACCCGCATTTAGCCTTTCTCATTTTAATTTATATATAAACTGTATTCCCGTCAGCACTCCTGGTTACTTCTAGAAGCACCTTAACTCTAGTGGCTCTTATGTTTGCCCTACCAGTGCCCAGCAGAGAACTTGGTCATCACTGCTGGATGGCAAGTTATTTCAAAACTTACCAATTAAGAGCGAGAAAGAGGAGCTGGAGAGATGGCTCAGTGGTTAAGAGCACTGGCTTGCTCTTGTAGAGGACCTGGGTTCAGTTCCCAACACCCACATGGTGGTTAACACATGCAGACTCATACACATATTAAAAAAAAAAAAAAGATTTCTGGATTTATGGGGTGGCCCTCCCTGAGATGAAAGTGACACCCTACAAGATGCCTTTGTGCCACAACTTTAAGTCTTTGATACAATTGCTATTCATTCTGGGATTCAATGTTTTTAGAAACATGATCGCACACATTGTAAAAAAAAAATCTAACTTGTCTCTGTGTATTCTTTTGTAAGACAGTGTCACTTTAAGAAGGTTTTATTTAGACATATACATATGGAAAATTAGCATCTTAGGTTGCTTCTTATGGCACAAACTGCAGCACCAATATTTTATTATGTAGACAGACAATCAGAGAGGCTACCTCCCCCTATACTGTGCCTTTAAAAAGCTTTTTATTTTTAAAATATTTTATTTTTATTATTTTGCATGTATGAGTGTGTTGCCTGCATGTATGTGAGTGCACCCATGTTGCACAATGCCCACAGAGGTCAGAAGAGGGCATCGGATTCCCTGGATCTGGAGTTAAGGACAGTTGTTAATCACCATGTGGGCGCTATGAACAGAACCCAGGTCCTCTGCAAGAGCAGCCAGTGCTCTTAACCACTGAGCCATCTCTCCAATCCCAGCTTTTTTATTTTTAATTTTCTTGCATTTTTATTTGTGTGTGCATATACACATGCCATTGGATCGCACCAGCTCCCGCCCCACTTTTTGTATAACAGATTTTTGAAGGATAGTTTCATGTGTGAAAAATCAAATAAACTGTGTGAACTTCTAGCACAAGTAAATTAAGTAAATAGGGAGCTGGGCGTAGTGCTGGGGGAAAAGGAAGGAAGATCTCAAATTCAAGGTCAACCTGGGTTATCAGCAAGATCCTGTGTCATCAAACCAACCAAAGGACTGAGGAGACTGCTCGGCGACAGAGCACTACTGTGCACACAGGAGGACCTAAGTTTAAATCCGCTGCACCCATATAACAAGAGCTTGCCATGACGTCTGCAAACCCAGTGTGTGGGAGGTAGAGGCCCGAGGGTCATTGGGCTCTGCTGACAGCCTGCCTAGCTCCAGGTTCAGTTAACTAGAACTTAAGTGGGGAGCGAGAGCAGGACACGCAGTGCTTCCTCTGGCTTCCAAGTGCATGCACGGGTAGGCAGACAGACACACGGAAAACCCAGAAAAAAACCCAGAAGGAAAAACAAACCAAAAAGAACATGACAGAGTGTCGGGTGTTCGTTTCTTTGTAAGTTCCTCCATTTCCCCCTCCCTACCAAAATATATAATGAAAAATTCAGATAAAAAAAAAAAAAGAACATGACAAACACCATCCACCCAATCAGCACTAATCTCTCAGATCCAAATGGAGGATGCCATCTCTGGTAGGGCCGTGGGAATCCAGACTGTGGAAAGGTATGGGGGAAGAAGTTAACACAAACCCCACTCTGAACTGTCTGGTGTCTGGGGCAAGCTAGGACCCTGCTCTCCTTGAGCTGGAGGGAGTTACAGGAGGACATTGCCATGCACATGGTTCAGACCCACCACCAGGGCAGGTATCTCCTAGACAACTGCTCTCCTAGCCCCAGTGCCATCTACTCCTGCTGGACAAATGCTCCATGGTTCTGGAAGGCTCATTCCAAGTCCCAGCAAAGCCAGAATCTGAAATATGGACCCTACACACTGGCTGGCCACCAGGTCCTTCTATCAAGTCAGACGAAAAAACTGCTCACTCAGTAAGATGGCGGTACAGGGGACCAAGAGAACAGTTAAGAAAAGCCAACCAGGCGTAGTGACACACCTCTTTAATCCCTGCATTTGAGAGGTGAAGGCTGAGACAGGTGGATCTCTGTGAGTTTGAGGCTAGTCTGGCCTACACAGCAATCTCCAGGCCAGCCAAAGCTACAAAGGGCAACTCTGTCTCAAAAAAATAAAATGAATAAAATAAAATAAAACAAAAAGGAAAGAAAGAAGAGAAAAGAAAAAGAGAACCCCTGAGTCACCCCACACCAAGAAGGTGCCAGGAGTCAGACCTCCACATACCAAGTGAGGTGGTCCTTAAACATGAGGTAAAGGCTTTATAACCGCACAATTCTGGACGCTAGCCCATCTTAAACTCAAGAACAGAGCTGTATAATGTTCCTAACTGAGGAGACCGAGGAGCACAGAGACCTCTGTTTTGATAAAACACTCTAAAAGAATCCAGTGAAAATCTCTCTGGGGCTTTAAAAACCAAAACTGGTGGTAAAGCTCGTGAAAAAAGTACAAAAAAGAGTAAAGAAAATATAAGTCGTGAACACTCTCCAGGCTGGGCGCCGAACTACACCATGGACCTCAAGGACTGAAATGATGGAAGGGGAACCCAGACCACCAATGACCTGGATGAAGACACAGGGTCTGCCAGGCCTACTGGCCTATGTGCACCTGCCAGGTCTCCTGGCCTGCCGAGAGCGTGCACACATGCTCTGCAGATGTACAAAGGCAACCCCACCCAAGGCCCGTGTTGGTCTGCGCCTCATTTCTGGGACCAATTTCCATACGGGGGTTTTTGTAGAAAATGAGAGAGTGGTTTCTTCTCAATTCCTAAGATGGAGTTTTTGACCACTCATATTCAACACCTAAGTGACAGGTGCTGCCAAAACAGGTCCAAAACAGACAGTGTCACTGATTGACCAGTATGAATTCCCCAGGGCCTCCCCGGGCGGCCCTCCACGTGGCTTTCCGGCACTGCTGTGCCCTGTGCTGAAGAGCTCTCTCCTCACCCCCATATTCTTACCTTTCCCGCTCCATCACTTCCCAGACACACCTTGGCTAGCTACAGGTGGATCTGTCAAGCTTTTCTGGCTTCTGGTGCAAGGTGTGGCTCAGATCCTAGCTAAGAGATGCTTAGAGTCCACACATGATGAACTAGAACTGCCCTGAGAGGAGGTGTCAGAGCAGGTACACACTGGGACAAGGGCAGAGGAGGGGGCAAGAGAGAGCCAAGGCACCTCGTGTCTCAGGAAAGCTAGGGTCCAGCACCCGAGTAAATTAACAGGTGGGAGGCAGGGAGAAGTGACCCTTCTCAAAGGGTTCCTGATGCATACATTTTTCCCGTCTCACCGGGGCCTTAAAAACTGAGTAACACTCAAATACGAGCTGGAGAGATGGCAGAGAGGTTAAGAGCACTGGCTGCCCTTGCAGAGAAACTGGGTTCAGTTCCCAAACCACCCAATTCTAGGGGATCCGATGCCCTATTCTGTCCTCCACAGGCATTGCATGACACAGGTGCACTTACATACATGCAGGCAAAACACTCATACACATAAAATAAATCCAAAAAGAATAAAAAACACTGAATAAGGCTCAGATGAATACAAAGTATTTAATAATTATAAATGCATAAAGCATTCAGAAGTAAAACTGCAGCACAGTTTTACAACACAGACATTAGACTCCTATTAAAAATCTGCAAACAAAGTAAGGGAAGGGGCAAGGCCTGGGACAGACCCTCAACTTCCCCAGACATGTGTGCCCTTTGGGGACCTGGGAAGGCTTGTGAAACACCCATTACTCCTGATCACCAAGGCAAACACCTCAAAGCATGCTCACTAGGTCCATCAGGACACTCTCCCTTGACAAAGCCACTGAGGCCACACTGAGCCCGAAAACGTGAGCAGAAGGCTCCTTCAGCAGCTACTTGGACAAAAGCAAAGCAGCAGAGCACATGACAGCCCCTTCCCGCCCCAAAAATCTGCAACTCTCTGAAACAGGGTTAAGAATGGCAGCTAAACACGCGTATCAGAACACGTGTTCAGAAGTATCAGAACACACTGTCCAGTGACAGCCACACCCCTCCCAGTGAAAGCCCTAGACAGGGATGTTCTGCACCCCACTGAACTCTGGCTTACTCCTTTCTAGCAGAGAGGGCGCCGCCCATACACAACAGTGTGCACAGCCCCAGCAACAAGGCCTGGCAGCGTTCACAGCGAGGCTGTAGGTCTGCTGGCAACTAGCCAGTCTGCCAGCAACTCTCTGCAGCAATTCACATACAGGCATGCTGTCTCCTGACAGGGGCAAAGACTCTGTGGTAGAACCGGTGGCGGCTTCCAGGAGACGTGGGAAACACCTGAGATACTGAGCCACGGAGCCTGGTTTCCTGGGCAGAACACTGAAGGTGCTCCTCCCTCCTCTGACCAGCTCTGCTGTTTCCACATCTGCTTGACACAGGAGGATCCCTTTTACCAAATGGCAGGTCTCCATGGAGCCAGCTCTATTTCCAGCAGGCCTGAAGCCCAGAGCTGCCTCCAGGGGACAAGTACTAGGAGAACCACACTGTGAGGTGAGTCGGGGAGACACTGAGGAGAGAATGGGAGCCGGCCCCATGTGCTGCCAGCCAACCCCACAAGGCCTGCATCAAAGCCAGGCAACCAGCAGCCCTCTCCTACACAAAGGACCGTGACCTGGGCCCTCCCTGCCCCACCCATAACTCGGAACCTAACCAGTACACACGCTGAGGCCAGGGCCCAGGTTCTGTCCAGCATGTTACCTGATTTGCTCCCAGGTCTTGGTGGCCAAGTGCAGGACCCAGAGATCCTTGTAATGGTAGAACTGCTCTCCATCGGGAGATGCAAACTCCCCGCCGAAGATCCACAGCTGACCGCCGCCCTGAGGTACCACCACAGCCTGTTAAAGGAAGCAGACAGGTTAGGTCAGCCACAGAGCAGCAAGTGGCCCCAGGGTGACCAGCAGCATCAGCATTGCCCACTTGGGACTCCCTGAACAATCATCCTCTCCTTCTGAGGGGAAGATTCTAGAACAAACCTCTCTAGGCACACTAACTAGATTCAAAGACTGAATATGTCTATGCTTCCCTAGATTTCAAGACGGACACCCACTTATAGTCAACGTCAGACCCTGTTGAAGTAAACGTGGTAAAAACCCCACCTGTTATAAGCTGCTACAATGAAGCCGTTTCAGCCTTTTTACTTATTTTACTTGTGCATGTATATGTGTGTGAGTCAAATGCACACGTGTGAGCTTTGCACACACCTGTGTATGTGCATGGAGGTCAGAGAGCAGCAGGTGTTCATCCATCACTCACCCCTATTCTCTTAAGGTCTCCCACTGAAGCTGGAGCCAGCCATCAGGCCCCAGTGCTGGGGTTCAGGTGTGCACGACCAGGCCCATCTTTTTACATGGGTGCCAGGATCTGAACTCAGGTCCTCATGTTTGTGCAGCAAGCATTCTTACCCATTGAACATCTCTCCAGTCTGTTTCAGCCCACTTAACCCTTTCCTACATGCCAGGCACTACACAGTTAATAAAGAGGGCTTCCAGATGGGGCATGGAAAGTTTGCCCCATCCAGGCACCTACTTGTGCACAGCAGGCTGGAGTCTGCTCATGCTGAGGGCAGCTGAATTTGAAGGCAAAGTACTGAGGAGAGGGGACAGGAGAGAAAGAGAGCTAGCAATCCACCATGGGTTCCTCGGAGCCCTCGTCCAGGCTGTGCGAAGTCTCCACCAGAACACAAGACCCAGAAGAGCACACACAATACTATCAAGTGACATCAGAGTGAAGAGGTCACTATCACTCAGCAGGGACCCCCAAAGGGGCTTAACCGGCTCTCAGCACCCCACGAAGATCAAGATGATCTGCCAGGAACTCAACTGCCACCGCCTGGAGAATGCATAACATAGCTCACAGACACTCCAGAGGCGATCACAAAGCCCAGCTCCCAGCCATAGCACAAGAAATGTGAGCTACAGGAGAGCCAGCAGGTGGCAGAGATGCCTGAGATGACAGGGTCACAGATAAGGACTTTAAGACAATTGTAACCAGAGCCAGAAGGCTTAAAAGAAATCAGACACGGGGCTGGAGAGCTGGCTCAGCGGTTAAGAACACTGGTTGTTCTTGCAGACCTGGGTTCGAATCCCAGCACCCACATGGCGGCTAACAACTGTCTGTAACTCCAGGTCCAGGGCATCCGACAGTCCTCTTCTGACCTCCGAGGCATTGCACGACACGGGTGCACTCACATACATGCAGGCAATACACTCATACACAAAAAATAAAAATAATAAATAATAAATTAAAAAAAAAGAAAAGTAGCCAGTTTCTTGGCTAAAAGTCAAAATGTCCAGCAACATACTCTGTTCCAAGGCCAAAAATGTCTAAAGTACTTGGGAGCTTGTAGCTAATCCTTAAAAGATTTTAGGGTTACCTCTTCAGAGGGGGCATGTAGGTGTTGGAAGGTAGGGAGTGGGCAAGGATTTGATCAAAACACCTTATATGCATGTATGAAATTCTCAATAAAGTTTTTGTAAAAGTTAAAAAAGTTGTCCTCCCACCTGCACACACACCCATGCCATGGCACATGACTACACACACACAAGCTGTGGCCAAGCAGCAGCATGAGACGAAGCCCAGGGCCACTTCCTACTTACCGTCTACACAAAACAGCACCCAAAGAGATCCTTAAATAGACACACAGTATAAACACACTACAACAGGCCGGGGAGAGGGCTCAGTCGGTAGAGTGCTTGCTGCATAAGCATGAAGACTAAGTTTGATCACCTAGGACCCACTTAAAAAAGCTGGGCCTGGTGGCACATGCTCAAAATCCTAGCACTCTAGAGCAGAGACAGGAGCCCTGGGATGCACTAGAGAGTCGGAGCAGCAAGTTCCAGATTCAATGAGCCTCTGCCTCAATAAATAAATACACATAGAAAGAAATAAGATGGATTAAGGAAGACATCGGAAGTCAACCTCTGGTATCTGCATGCATGTGTGCATGCTAACACACACATACACACACACACACACACACACACACACATCTATACTTCCTATGAAATTACTCAAACTTCTAGGAACTCTATCCTAAGAAAACCTCTCTTGCCATCAAGACTCAAAGGCAATGACTCTCTTCCTCAGCACAGAAGTGTCCGGTGCCTACACTTCTGAGAGACTCTGCTTTCTAGAGCTGTCCACTTCAGGAAGCCGACACACCTTTACCAGGAGTTTCTATGGAAACTGGTTTACACACACGCTGAAAAGGGCAGCAACCCAGACTGTCATCAAACATACTTTGTTCACCTTTGAAGACAGGCTTGAGATGTAACTATTTCAAATAGTCTAGCTGCGGCTCAAACACCCGTAACCAGCTACCAAAGAGTAAAGAGTTACGTAGCTTCATATCATAGTAAGAAAACAGAGAAAGAAACAAGGGCTGAGCCAGCAACTCACAACTGTAATTTCAGCACTGAGAAGGCTGGGGCAAAAAACCCCACGTCTGCTAAAAAGGTATCAACGGTGTAAGGTTTATCTGAAAACCCAGGCAGAGTGGCAGGTTTAAGTCAGAACATGCCGGCATTCACCTGAAATGCAGTGGTAGGCGGCACCCCGAAGCTGCTTCCCACCATCAGGCACTGTCTTCACAGAAGCCATCAGGACACAGGCTGGGCTGTCAAGCAGCCCAGGACAAACCTAGCCCCCTTGCAAGAGAACAGGAGCTGGTGGGCTGCACTGGTGGCAGGTGGCTTTGCCTGCCACTGCCTGTTCCCCGAGACTCACTGAAGACCTCATGCCCCAGTCCATGTGTCCCATCACTGACACACTTGATTGGAAATGAAACAAGAAAAAAAAAAAAGAAACCAACTTCAAATATATGTACAGCAGCAGACACAACAGTTTTGAAGAAACCATTCAAATAGGTGGCAACCAGCATTCTCTGGGTCTAACAAAACCAAAAGTGGCCACATGGCCAAGTGCTAGTGCACACCCACACACCTCAAGGTACACAGCAATGTCTTTCCCACGCACCTGTCTCATGATGCCCTGTGCTTCTAGGTGCTTGGATTTACTTACTACTATAACTGGAATACACAGAAACCCTTGAATTCACAACCTCCAGTATGCCACAAACAGCAACCGAGACACTCCAACAAAGCACAGACAGCAGTGTGACAGCAGTGTGAGTGCTTGCCCAGCACAAAGCTCTGTACCCTGCATTCCCAGCACTGCCAAACACGGCACGGCACGGCATGGCACACTAAACTTCTGGTGTCAGCCTTGGGCTTCTGCTGAGGGAGCCCAAACCCTTCCCAAGCCAGACATCCTCAAGATCAAACAGAGAACTCAGCAGGGAAGGCAAGTGTGTCTCCCAGCTGGTACCCAACACACAGACGAGGCTCTGCTTCTCCAGCACATGGACTCCTCAAAGGCCTACTTCAGGGCGTCAGGCAGCCAGGACTCTGCTGGATGCTGTCAGTGAGACGATGACCACCTCACAATCAAGCCTGAGGTGAGCTCAGTCTACTCTAAGGAAACAGCTGCCACCCTCCCTTTCTTGTCATGGTTTTGTTGTCTTTTTTTTTTTTTTTTTTCTTTTAGAGACAGGGTTTCCCTGTAGCCCCAGCTGGCCTGGAACTCACTATGTAGACCAGGCTGGCCTCGAACTCACAGAGATCCGCCTGCCTCTGCCTCCTGAGTGCTGGGACTACATGTATAGCCCAGGCTGGCCTCGAACTCATGATCCTCCTGCCTCTGCCTCTTCAGCACATCCTACCAGCGTGCGCCACCACAACCAGCTATTTTGTTTTTTGAGACAGGGTCTCCCTGTAGCCTCAGCTGGCATGGAACTCGCTATGTAGACCAGTCTAGCCTCCATCTCACAGAGATCTGCTTGCCTCTGCCTCCTGAGTGCAGCTAACAGCTGCAACTTGTCTTTTTGATTCCTTATGAGAAAATGTACTTTATTTCAAGAGAAAATGCACTTTATTTCAAGCGTGCTCTGGTCAGCAGTACTTTGGGGAAATAATCCAGGGGTAGACAGAAGCTCAAAGTTTTTGCTCCCACTTCTCAACCTCCAGCCTCACTCAGCCAGCTGTCTGCGGCCTCCAGTCCACAAAGAGCTGTCCCTAGCACCACACCCACCCTCCTCCCAGGAAAGGAGAATGAAAGGTTCTAAGGAGGAGCTGTAGTGGAAGAGGAGGATAGACGGAGCTCAGGCCATACTAGACACTGGAAATGCTTTTCTGAGGTGGAGCAACTCCAACCTGCTGTGTGTCAGCAGAAACCAACCACAAGCTTACAATACAATTCATTCTAAAGTAATTCTTTTTCTCCCACTATCCGCCCCATTCTTGAACAGTCCACCTTCTTGTGATCACCACCAGCCCAGACCTGGGGCACATGGGGTGCACTCACCCAAACACACAGAGCTTTCTGCCAGGAAGCTATTATACGTCAGCCGCTGTGCAGTGTCATGCTGTGGAGGGGCTCCCTCCCTTCTCATAGGTAAAGAAACAAGTGCTGGAAAAGGCGCTCAGGAAGAAGTCCAGGAAGATGGCTGAGCCCACTGCAGAGGCTCACACCTGTCACCCCAGCCCGCAGGAGGCTAAGGCCGGAGGTTCACCAAAGCCAGCCTAGGTCACAAAGTGAGACCCTGTCTCAAAACTAAAAAGAAAAGGACAGCACCAGAATGACTTTGAAGGTCCAGCTCTCAAGGGAGGCAACCTGCCACCTACAGACTCTGCCAATGTGTTCAGGTGTTACCTGGTGTGCACAGCGCCGTGGAGGTGGACCTGGGATGTCGACTTTTGTCCAGGTGTCCTTCCTGATACTGTAGATATAGAGCTCGTTATACACAAAGGTCTGCAGGAGGAAGCAGAGCGGCACATTGGTAGTGGAGGACAGCAGTGTAGGGCTGCTCTTGGTCATTACAAGTCCCAGGAAGTCTGTCCCCTACACTGAGCCACACATCCAGCTGACAAGCCACGTACAGCCCCCAAGATCCTCTGAGCACAAGACAGAAGTTCTCAATTTGCCATGGGGCTAAATCTCAAGAAATTACAAGCAGGTGAAAATAAGTTGAAATACATTTTGCATGTCTAACTGCCAAGTCTTCTAGTTCAGGCCAGGATCTTCCATGGACCAGAGCACTGGCCTCAGCCTGTGGCCAGGCGGCCAGCTGACACAGTCTGCTTTATAAAGCTCTGAGACGTCACAGAATGACGTTCTGATGTGAAGACACAGCAGCTGCATGGGTGTCCTCTCCCCACTCTGCAGTCAAAAACCTCACAAACAACCCCTTGTAAGTTGGGACCATCTGTACAAAGAAAACACAGTGTTGGCAACTGATTTCTCAGTCCCCAAGAGCCTCTGCTGCCGAGCAAGACTCGCCACTCTGCATCAAGCCAGTTTTGAAATGCATGAAATGCATCAAGCAGCTGGACATGTGAAGCTAGACTTGGAGCCTCGCAGGCTACTGGAGAGACGCACCTCTGCTTTCCACAGCTTCCCCAGCATCAAACCCAGGGTCTTGCAGCTCAAAAATAAAAGGTGGGGCTGGAGAGAGGCTCAGAGGTTAAGAGCACCAGCTGCTCTTGCAGGGGACCCGGGTTCAGTTCCCAGCACCCATGTGGCAGCTAACAGTCATCTGTAACTCCAGCTCCAAGAGCTCTGATGCCCTCTTTTGGCCTTTGCATACAGGAACATGGTGCACTTACACACATGCAGACAAAACACTCATATACATAAAAAAAATTAAAAAAATAAAAGATACTGGCTGGCCTTTAATCCCAGCACTCGGGAGGCAGAGGCAGGCAGATCTCTGTGAGTTCAAGGCCAGCCTGGTCTACGTAGTGAGTTCCAGGACAGCTGGGACTACAAGGAGACCCTGTCTCAAAAAGACCAAAATAAATAAATAAATAAATAAAAGATACCCCCACAATTTTACTAACCCTTTCCCCATTAAAACAACATTGAGGGCTAGAATTAAGAGCTCACTGTCGTACAGGGCTTGCCTACCACGTAAAGCTCTGGGATTGTTTCCCAGCACCACAAAGCTTTGGCAATTCTGAAGCAGTGTATAGTGCAAAGGCGTGGCCCAGTACTTGGGAGTTGAGGCTCAGCTGGTTCAGAGGAGACCAGGGCCCCTGCAGAACTGGTGCTGAACTCAGAAGTCCCTGAAGGTCCTGGAGACTGGTCAAAGGCACCCCATTATCAAGCCTGACACTCAGGAGATGAGAAGTGAAAGACCGCAGCATATTTACATCACCACTTTAAATTTACTTCAAACCAGTCCGAAACAGTTGGGAGAAAAGAAAAAAATATATACTTTACTTTTTGGCCATTGAAATATTCACCTCCGAAAAGGATTAATTCATCTTTCTCAGGGTGAGCAGACAGGGACGCATTTAACCTGCAAGACAGAAGCCGCAGAGAAGCAGTGTCAGAACACATGACACCTGGCTGCACATACCCCTCCCATCAGCATGTCTTCCACCAGAGTCTCCCCTCCTCAACATCCAAGAGAGGAGCAGGCCCAAGTACCACTCAGCCTCCCAGTACCAGGTTCTTGCTCCAGGAGAGACCTGCTTGGACCTGGCTGAAAACATCAGCAAGCAGGGAGAAATCCAGACCTCGACTCACATTGCCACCTTCCAGACCTGCCCTGGAGAGGTCTTGTCTAGCCTTTAAATCATAAGCAAACCAAGGAGTGGTGGCTCATGACTGCAATCCTAGCCTCTAATCTGAGGCCTCTATTCTGCTCTTGGGTATTTACTGTGCACAAACAGTTTGTAGGCTGAGAAAATCTGCAGTAAAGTAAAGTGGTGGCATATGCCTTTAAATCCCAGCACTCGGTAAGAAGAGACAGGGAGATCTCTGTGAGTTCAAGGCCAGCATGGTCTACGTAGTGAGTTCCAGGACAGCTGGGACTACAGGGAGACGCTGTCTCAAAAAGACCAAAAAAAAAAAAAGGTTAAAATGACCAATTTTATGTTACATGTTGCTCTAATAACATTTCTAAAAAATAAGGAGGGTAGGGAGAATAATCAAGATACATTGTATAAATGTGTGAAATGATGAAAGTACAAACCAGATAAAAGACAGCGCTGCCAAATTCCTGTCACTGCTCACTGAGCACATGACGCTCCTGTGGAATAGTGCCCAACACATCTTGGGAAGAGACTGTGTCGGGTCCAGAGCTGTGAATGCTAACCACGCGCACCTCAGCCAGGCACCACTGGAGGCACAGGCAGCGCGGTGGACACAGCCCTGAGCCAGGTCCTCCCTTGTTGTTAAGCTGCACCTGGGCTGACAGTTGGGTCTTATGGATTCTTGTTCTGTTTGGATGCAAAATGAAAACCCAAGGCTCAGGAGCTGGGGGTTTGCTCCCCCAGTGGGTAATGCTGCTAAGAGGTGAAAAGATCAGAAGCCGTCAACCTCATCAACACATCAGCCACTGCCAAGGCCAGAGCTGAATGGGCTATTAGGAGGTGGGGCCTGGCTAGAGGAATAAGTCACTGGGGACAGGCCTCTGGGTGGACCCTGTCTCCAAAGCCTTCTTCTGTCTCTCACTCCACCCTCCCCATGATGCTCTGCCACACCATGGCCCAGAAACAAGGCAGCCAAGTGACCATGGACTGAAACCATGAGCCAATGAACCCTCCTCCCTGCGGCTGACTCCCAGACACTGTCACAGCAACAGAAAGCTAAGCTCGTGGAGAGGTGGGAGGTCATGGGAGATCTTAACTCCTCCCTTCAGTTCACATTCCGCTCCCTTCTACCAGAAGTACTCTCCAGGCTTTTCAAACCACCTCGACATTAAACTTGACTTTGGAGGCAATGTTACCTTAGAAAAAGTTCCATTCATCATAAAACAAACAACACATTCAAAGTGGCTGGCTTTCCTCAGGGATGTCAGACTTCAGCGATTCAGAAGAGCTGCCTGTCCACCATGCAGGCCAGGCCAGAGACGGCATGCTGACTCAAGGAAAAGTAGAAGCCAAGTCCAGGCAGAATTCATCACCCTGCATTCCACCCAGGGCTCATCACTGAATCCCTCCTCCCACTCCTTGGAACAGGCAATGCCCAAAGCCCACGTGAGCCATCAGGGCCATCACCACACTACTATCACATCCCCAAGAGCCAGGTCCTAGGCTCCCACCCAGGCACGTTACCGAGACAAGTTCAAACCCAGCTAAGAAGGAAGCAATCATCTCATCTAGACAGCAGGGGCTGCTGGTGAGGCTTCACCACTTTCACAGCTGATGATACTCTGCCTACCCTGGATGACACAGCTTATGAGGGCACCGGTCCTCTCCAATGCCTGGCCCGCTGAGTCAGAGCCTCCACTGAACAGCAAAGAGAATTAGGGGCCCTGAATCAAATGAGAGAATTAGACCCTGGAAGCAGAGAGGAAGCCAGGTGGAGACTGAGCTGCTTGTTCAGCTCATTCCATTCCAGGATGCAAAAGCCTCGAGATCTCTCTCGTAATTTACAAATTCACTTAAAATGAACAGCTACAATTTATGTTTAAGAAACTGCACATAGGAATTCAAAAGCATTCAAGTCTGGCATGGTGGCGCATGCTTTTAATCACAGTACTTGGGAGCCAGAGGCAGAGGCAAGCAAATTTCTGTGAGTTCAAGGCCAGCCTGATCTATATAGTGAGTTCCAGGCCAGCTGGGGCTACAGGGAGACCCTGTCTCAAAAAGAAAAAAAAAAAGTAAAAGCATTCAGAACAAACAGTAAAAAGCTGTGATCGTCAGCCCACACCTGTGATGCACTCTTAAGACTACTGAGACCTAAAAGAAAGCTCGAGAGGCCACACCTGTTCCACAAGCTGTGGCAGAAGCAGCGTGCCAGGAGACTCTTCTCCATGTCTCTGCAGGGCAGGAGCACTGACAGTCATACACCAGCTCTTCAGAGGACAGTGACTCATGGCACTTAAGGGAAAATGGCCCAAGTGTCCAGACATTTAAACATGGTACCAATATCAAGCAGCTTTCCAACTTAAGAGAAAGGAAATTATATAAAACCAAAAGGTAAGAGCTTGCTCACTTACCGCGGGGAGGGTGGAGAGCACAGGGTCTCTGTGACCTGGGTCTTTTTGGCATCCAGGGTCTGGAAATGGGCTATGAGGGCTTCCAGGTCTTCCTAAGAACACAAAAGTGACCGAATGTGAGACTTGGGCTAAACCTGTTCCAGAGTCAAAGACATACCAGCCTCCCTCCCATTGGTCTGATTGGACTCAGGGGTCCTAACACGAGTTTGAAATACAGAGTGTATTCACATTAAGGAAATATTCAGTGTGACCCTGAAGGCAGTTTCCGTGTAGGTGTACATGCATGCATAATCATTCCAGATCCCCCCTGCCACAGAGGGCTTCTATGGAGGGGACCCTATCCTGGCCACAGTTCTCAAGTCTTCAATGGCTTCTGACAACCCAGGCTGCATGTGTCACTAGTGTGCTCTCTACACAACCGTGCCTGGGATTCCTCTTGGTCACTGGTTGTCTGCGGCTCCCATTTCTATGATGGAATATAAGCTCCAGGAGAGCAGGCCTTAACGGGGGCCTGCAGTCTACCCCTCACCAGCCCATTTCCCAGCTGTGGCGGCAGACCCAGAGAGTAAGGTCTGATTCACGGGCATGCTAGGCAGCACTAGAGCTGAGCCTTCCCATCCCCACTCAGTACCCAATACCCACTGCACCCCAGAGCTCCATGGCTTATCTGCCACTCAGAACTTTCCCTGCTGTCCCTGCTCTCTGAACTCTCACTCCCCTCCTCTTATGCAAACTGAGACCTGGGATCTCAGATCTAACCCTTCTTTTCCTCCCCACATCACACACACACATGCACACGCACACGCACACCCACACGCCCTCCCACCCTGTTCTCACACCCTGCAGGAAGTCAGGTGTCTTTCTTGCAGCTGCCAACACTTGCAGAGCACATTCCTTCTCTACCACTCTCCGCAGGTGACACTGCCTCCTCAGTTCTCTGGGCCTGAAGAGGCCCCTGCACCCCTTCCCTGGGCTTCCTCCTGCTCACCCCAGTCCCAGCCCAGGGGCTCTCTCTTCAGGACAGACTACCCGTTATTTTTAAATTACATAATATGTAACAGGCACCCCATCTACACATCCATCAGCTCAAGGAAGACACCACCCTGGAAAGCTGGCACCCCATGTAGCTCCCCAGATTTCTGGAGAAACCATGATCTGGAACTGGTGCTATTTATTTATTTAGCAGGGTCTGCTATGTAGCTCAAGCTGGTCTTGAACTGACACTCCACCTGCCTCAGCCTACTATACAGCATGTGTCTCAGTTTCTCTTTCAAGGCTATAACAAACCTCAACGAAAACAACTTAAGGGGACAAGGTTCATTCTATCTCACTGCTCCAGGTCAAAATCCATCCTGGCAGGAACCAAGCACTAGGAGTGTGATGCAGCTGGTCACATGACACCCACAGTCAGGAGAGCAAATGCATGTGTGCACGCTAGTACTGGGCTCCCTTTCTCCACTCAACAGTCCAAGGTCCCAGTCAAAAGAGGAACGCTGCCCATGCAGGTCTTCCCACCTCAATCCATGTAGTTAGCATAATCCCCCAGAGACAAGCTAGAGCCCCATCTCCTACATGACTCTAGATTTTGTCAATCTGACAACACTATCAGAGCATGCTAGGATGATTGGACCCATCAAGGACCCATCAATACCACACAAAGAACACAAACAAAGCGGAAGTAACTCGGCAAGGCACATTTTACTTTTGTAAAAGGGTGACCTACGTGACCAGTCCGATCCACCAAGTCCACACAGGACCCGGAAGCCTAGGGACTTTTATCCCTAAAGAAAGAGAACTGAGTCCTTTCCCCATTGGCTGGGGTCCAACCTCACAGTCTTTCCCAGTTAGCTAGTTTAAAAGAATTGGCATAGGGCTGGAGAGATGGTTCAGCGGTTAAGCCACTGCCTGCTCTTGCAGAAGACCAGGAATTGAATCCCAGCACCCATGTTGACTAACAACTATCTCTAACTCCAGTTTCAAGGGATCCAAGACCCTCTTCTGTCCTCTGTGGGCATTGTACGACACCGGTGCCCTTACAATACATGCAGGCCTAACACTCATACACATAAAATAAAAATAATTTTTAAAAATTTTATTTATTATTTTTATTTTATGTGTATGCGTGTATTGCCTGCATGTAGGTAAGTGCACCTGTGTCATGCAATGCCCACGGAGGTCAGACGAGGCCGTCGGATCCCCCTGGGACTGGAGTTACAGACAGTTGTTAGCTGCCATGTGGGTGCTGGGATTCAAACCCGGGCCTTCTGCAAGAACAGCCAGTGTTCTTAACCGCTGAGCCATCTCTCCAGCCCCAATTTTTTTTTAATTAAAAATAAAAAATAAAAGAATCAGTGAGAAGGGAGAAGAGCTCCACTCCAGGCCATCAGGCTCAGGAATGCATGGGGCCTTTCCTTAAATGAAAGTCTTACAGGGTATGGTGTGATGAAAAGATTACAATTCCTTGTATAAACCAAGTTCCAAGCTTTACAGGATTTGAAAGAAAAGGCTAATATCTACTGTTTCTTTCAGGAATAAAGGAGATGTGGCTGGACCAGTGACCTCAGGGAGAGTGGACACATCAGCCCTGGTTATCAGAATTCCCAACTGGCTCCAAGAGTCCCTGGGGCTTTGGAATGATGGGACATCAGTACCTTGATCAAGTTTTCCTGTGTATCACCGCTGAGAAGCTATTCCCTCTGGAATCGGGCTAAAGAGATGAACCAAAGCCTAAAGTTTGTTCAAGAATGAACCAAGCTGATGTGCAAGGTTCCTGCCTGGGTAATCCCGCCCCCATAATCAAAATCTCTCCCTCCCTCCCTCCCTCCCTCCCTCCCTAGAAGCTCTTGTTATGAGCATCTAGGTACCACACACTCCTGGGGGATGCAGCAGTCAGCTTCCAAGTGCTTCCTCTACACAGAGCTCTTGCCTAACGGTGCAGCACAGAGGACCTGAGTTCCTGTACTCCAGGCAGGGCCTGCTCCTGAAGTGGTTCAGGTAGCTGTTGCCGAGGCAAGACTCAAACTCAGACCCTGTGGCTGCAGAGCTGGTGAGTTTAATTGACCAAGAACCTCAGAATGTTTGCTCATAAAGCAAATTTGAGGGAAGAGTTCAACCCCATTATTTGACAGATGAGGAGATAGAAAAATGATATGGCTGGAGAGATGGTAGCTAAGAGCACTGGCTGCTCTTGCAGAGGACCTGGGTTTAATTCCCAGCACCCACATGGCAGCTAACAACCATCTGTAACTCCAGTTCCAAGGGATCCGACTGCCCTCTTCTGCCATTCCCAGGTATTGCATGACACAGGTGCACTTACACATAGAAAATAAAAATAGTAAATTAGCTGGGTGTGATGGCCAAACCCACCTTTAATGCCAGCACTTGGGAGGCAGAGAAGGGCAGATGTCTCTGAGTTCGAGACCAGCCTGGTATGCGTAGTGAGCGCTAGGACAACTGGGACTACAGGAAGACCCTGTCTCAAAAAGGCCAAAAAATAGTAATAATTAATTAATTAAAAAAAAAGAAATGAGTGGCCTGGGGATAAAGGGGCACAGGAATGTGGCCAGGAGCTCTGAATCGGCGTTTGGTCAAATTCCAGCTCTGCACTTCTTCCAGGTGAGCCAAACTCTGAGCTCTGTAACCTGCTGGCCTTTGACTCCCTACCTGTCCGGTGCAAGGCCATGCTACCGCCTCACTAGCTGTGCGGAGGGGAGCCTAGACAACCCCGTGCCTGGCCCACTGCGGGGCCAACACTGGCCATCACGGCAGCCCCAGGCGAGGAAGGCCCAGGAATCGCTGCCAATTGTATGCACAGCCCTTAGCCCCAAGTTCGGCATTCCTGGGATAAGAGGGTGGGAAGGGCTGGAAAGGACACGAAAACAGGGCAATGGCGGGCACCAACCGGAACATCCTACAGCCCCAGCGACTTGTTTGGTTACTTAATCCCACTACAGCTCTCTCAGGGGGCAGGGGGAGGGTATGCGGGGCGCCGCGCAGACTGACCACCCGGCTTCCTCCAGCCCGCAGCCCCCACCCCCCGCCCCGCGCCCGTTCACTCACCTCCTCCTTCCGCGAGCGCTTGGACAGCTTCTTCTCCATCTTGGCGGCCGTTTTCTCCGCCCCGCGGCCCTTCTTCTCTTTCTTGCCCTTTTTGCCCATCGCGCCGGGTCTAAGGCAGAACCTGGATACCAGAAAAGGCTGGTGGCGACTCGACCAGAAGCAAGTGGCGCGCTAAATAAAGCGTCACTTCCGGTCCTCCACTCGCAGGTTCCTGAGCGGAAGCGATTCCCCGAGCTCTTGGGCTCCGCCTGCCATGTTAGGACACCGCCCCCTCCTGGGTACGCTTGCTCAGTGCGTGACTCTTAAACTCGCAGCCACCAAGAGGATGGGTGGGCTCATTCCCTAAAGGGGACTTCCGCCGAGAGTGAAGGGGGCCCCTTTTCTTTTTTATATATATTTTATTATTTATTATTTTTATTTTATGTGTATGAGTGTATTGCTTGCATGTAGGTAAGTGCCCCCGTGTTGTGCAATGCCCGCAGAGGTCAGAAGAAGGCGTCGGATCACCTGGAACTGGCGTTACGGATGGTTAGCTGCCGTGTGAGTGCTGGGACTCGAACCTGGGTCCTTCGCAAGAGCAGCCAGTTATCTTAACCGCTGAGCCACCTCTGCAGCCTGCAGCCCCTTTTCTAGTGATTCTGCGCTGAGCTGCGGAACAGTCGTTGCCCTTCTGCTGGTGTCGCCGGGTGGCCTGGGAGAGAGACCAGGGCTGGTGATGTCAGTCAACCCTGCGACCTGTGGTCAGAGAAACACGCTGTAGAAAACCTGCTCCAGGACCTGACTCAAATGGGAGTGTTGTTTGAAAGAACAGGTTAAGTGCTTATCACCTCAAGATGTCTTTGGACTGTAATCAAGGAATGGCGCAAAGTCAAGACAAGGCCAAGCAAAACACTGGCAAAGAAACGCATAGACTAGGAAATTATCTTACTTCTCTGTGGGAGCGCTGCCAAAACGCATCCTTAAAGAAACCGCCTTGAATCCGAACAACCCTGATCACTGAGGCTCTGAGGAAGGATGATTTCCCAGCCCACCCCCAAGCTTTGTCCATAAACCTATTTCTTTTTTAAAAAAAAAAAATTTATTTTATGTGTATGAGTGTATTGCCTGCATGTATGTGAGTGCACCAGAGTCGTGCAATGCCGCGGAGGTCAGAAGAGGGCTTCGGATTCCGCTGGAACTGGAGTTAAGGACGGTTCATAGCTGCCATGTGGGTGCTGGGAATCGAACCCAGGTCCTCTGCAAGAGCAGTCAGTGCTCTCAACCACTGAGCCATCTCTCCAGCCCCCCATAAACCTATCTCTTTAAGGAAAAAAACCAAAAATACTTTTGGCAGACAGAGTGGCTCCCGCCTTTAATCCCAGCACTCGGGAGGCCGAGGCAGATGGATCTCTGTGCGTTCCCAACCTGGTCTACATAGTTCTAGGTCAGTCAGGGCTACATAGTGAGACCATGTCTCAAGAAGAAAAAAAAACACTTTTTTTTTTTTGAAAAAATGATGTGTGATTCTTCCTGGAGAGGTGCACAGAAACAGCTATTCATCCCAAATAGGACACCAAAAGACAATTATTCCATCCAAGTCCAGCTTGGTGAACCAGTGAGTTTATGAGGGTTATTTACAGGCACATGGATGACCCAAATGCAGCTGCATCACAGGAAAGTCCCCAGTCAGCCATCCACCTGCTATGTGTTACAGCACACACACCCAACCACGGTGCAGCTGAGGGCAGGAGGGGGTGGTGGCTAAAATCTCAGCTGAGGGTCTGATGTCCCCCCTCCTTTTACAAGAGAAAGCTAATGGACCCAACTTTATGAGGGTCTCCTGGAGGTGATCCAACCACTCTGGTTTCAAGATGGTAACAACGATGTCATGCCTGGGGGACAGAATTCTGCTGCAAATGAGAAGGAAGGAACCAGATGGAGCATTTGTGACTTACAGCATTGCTTGCAGATCATGTGTGATGGTACAGGGGAAAGAAGGGCTCCCTGGTCAGAAAAAGACCTGGGAAATTCACAGTCACATGGCCTGAGTCTTCAGTGAGCTAGAGCAGGTTACACCGTCTCTTGCCTAAGGGACCAGTTATGTTTCCCTGTGTTCTGGGACCTTAAGAATATCCCTAATCCTGCGCTTTTTTGGTTGTATCAAGAAACCTTCAAGCAGTGCACTTGAAACAGAACAGCCCTTCAGTCAGAGCCCATCACACCTGCCCGAAATATATAACAGCACTCCCTCCTCGGGGCTTCCAAAGGGACAGTGTTTCTTGTAGAAGATTTAGAAGGGTCTGGAAGAGGCAGGGTTTAATGCTTTAAAATCTGAAACTCTTGAAACCAAATTGTGAGACTCTGGATGATACGTATTATAATGGTTTACATGAGGCTGAAGTTTTCATTACGAAGAGACAAGTGGAGCAGAGCATCTGAAGTGAGACCAGAATCTTACAACAGCAGAAAGGTTAGTACAGCGCCATTCTAGTGACATTCACGCTTTTGAAAATCTAATGGATTGTCTTGAATGTTATGTCACTTTTAGATTCTTTGCTGTGGTCAGGCGCCCTCTGCTGCCTTCAAGTTGAAGTTCAGGGGGAAAAAAAAGTCTTAACAATAGACTGATTAAACAAAAGTATGCCAACTTCTAATCATTCTAATCACCTGTACCACCAATAACGCGGTCAGAAGAGTTGCTCTGCTGTGGTATAGAGGAGCTGGTTCTTTACAGATTTCCCGTCTGGAAACTGATAATAATACTCCAGCCCGGAGTGGAGAAATGGCTCAGCAAGCGGTGACAAGCACATCCTGCTCTTGCAGAGAACCTGAGTTTAATGCCCAGCCACCTGCATTGGGGAACTCACAATCACTTGCTCCAAGGGGGATCCAGTGGTCCCTTCTGGCCTCTGCAGGTACCTGTACACACATGCACATACCCACATAGAGACACATAATTAACAGTAAAAATAAATCTTAAAATACCCCAACCGTTTTGGTTTTGGTTTTGGGTTTTTGTGTTTGTTTTTTGTCTTTTTGAGACAGGGTCTCCCTGTAGCCCCAGCTGCTCTGGAACTCACTGTGTAGACCAGGCTGGCCTCGAACTCACAGAGATCCACCTGCCTCTGCCTCCCGAGCACTGGGACTAAAGGCGTGCGCCACCATGCCCGGCCTGTACAGAATTCTTTAGCGACTCAAGCAAAATAACTGTAAAACAGCAAAAAACAACTTTTGGAGATTCTATGTATTCTTAAGTGAGGTCATGATTTTGAACTGACTGACGTGATGTTGCTTAACATGAACTGAATGCTATACCTGGTTCGACATTGTACCAGGCCACATGAGGCATGCCAAACAGAAGTGCACACACCAACTTCAAGGAGGTTTGTTCTAGTGAAAGACACATATATGAAGACACCCCACACACATATACTCATAATTTAATAAAAGCGGGTCTGGAGAGATGGATCCCCAGTTAAGAGCACTGGCTGCTCTTCAAGAGGACCAGGGTTCAGTTCCCAGCACCCACATGGCAGCTAACACCTGCCTGCAACTCCAGTTCCAGAGGATCCGCTGATGCTCTCTTCTGGCCTCTGCAGGCATTGCATGACACAGGTGCACTTAACGCATGCAGGCAGGCAAAATGCTCATACATATAAAAAAATTAATCAACCAAAAAATTAAAAATTATAAAAGTAGATCTTTTAAAAAAGAGTCCATGGATAGCCAGGTGTAGTGGCACAGGCCTTTGATCTCAGCACTCAAGAGGAAGAGACAGGCGGATCTCTGAGTTCGAGGACAGCCTCGTCTACATAGTGAGTTCCAGGTCAGCTGGGGCTACAGAGAGACCTTGTTTCAAAACAACAACAAAAAAGAAGTGGATAAATCGTTCCTACAGTTGGAAATTTAACACCCTTATCTCTGGGTTCAAGTCAAATAAGTAGAGGAATTCAGTCAAGATATATAACTTTGAACACCAGACTTTGTTTTTTTCATATTTTATTTATTATTTTTATTTTATGTGTGTATTGCCTGCGTGTGGGTAAGTGCACCCCTGTCATGCAATGCCTGTGGAGAACAGAAGAGGCTGTTGGATCCCCTGGAACTGGGATTTGAATCCCAGCACCCATATGGCAGCTAACAACTGTCCGTAACTCCAGTTCCAGGGGATCCGACAGCCTCTTCTGTTCTCCGCAGGCATTGCACGACATGTGTGCACGTACCTAACAACCAGTGTTCTTAACCGCTGAGCCATCTCCCAGCTCCTGACACCAGACTTTCGGTCAGTCAGTCAGCCAGTCAGTCAGTCAGTCAGTCAATCCTATTAGTCAACGAACGGCACATGACACGTGCAGAATTCCACCAGCTTGGTAGGCTCAGTCACTCCGGGAGCACATGGACCATGCTCCCAGGCTGTGAGCCATACCAAGATGCACATGAAAGGACTATCCCTGTGTCCTCTTCAGCTAGGACAGAAATCAATTGGAGATGTGTAACAAATGGTTACTGAGAAGGTGTCTGGGGATGGGGCTCAGGTAGAGCACCTGCCTGCCTCTCATGCAGAAGGCCCTGGGTTTGATCTCTAGCACTGAAAAAAGCAGATAAGAAAATATCTCCAAATAACAGGAAATTAAGTAAAACCCTAAATAAGAAGAAAACCTGATTTCAATTATGATACAAAATGTCTGGATTCATCTTTTCTGTTTAAACAACTAGAAAACTAGACAAATCCTCCGAAATGATGGCTTTGCTTTTACGTTTCGTCTTTTTTCCCTCTCCTCTCCTTTCCTTCCCTCTTTTTTAATTTTTATTTTTTGAGACAGTATCTCACTATGTAGCTCTGGCTGGTCTGGAACTCACTATGTAGACCAGGCTGGCCTTGATCTCACAGAGATCTTGCCTGCAGAGTGCTGGGATTAAAGATGTGTGCCACCACACCCAGCTCTTTTCTTTTTTTAAAAAAATGTGTCTGATTGCACGCCTTTAATCCCAGCACTCGGGAGGCAGAGGCAGGTGGATCTCTGTGAGTTTGAGGCCAGCCTGGTCTACATAGTGAGTTCCAGGACAGCTGGGCTACAGGGAGACCCTGTCTCAAAAAGACAAAAAAAATTGTGTCTGAGTGTTTTGCCTGTATGTGTCTGTGTACCATGTGCACACAATGCCTGTGAAGGTCACACAAT